GTGATCTCTACCAGGACCAAAAGAATCGCAGAGACCGGCGTTGTCTCAACAATTTCATTGTAATTTTGAACTTTTAATGGTCTCTCTGAACTGTTCTTTTTCCACGGTGGAAAGAGTGTACAGCATACATGTTCAATGACGTTAAAAAACAAGAATTTGCGTACACAAGTTTACATTTATTTTGCCTAAAAGCTGGGCCAGGAAACCATCTAATTTAAATAAATTCTACCAATAATGCCAAGAAGAGTGGTCAAATAACCAGCAAGAATTATACCAGAAGCTTGTTGATCGCTACTGAAAAGATCTGGTTGAGGTGCAACTTGCTAAGGAATATTTTACCAAATATTACTGGGGATGTATCTATTGTACTCTGGAAAAAGAACAGTTGAAAGAAGCCATAATAAGCCTGAACTTACCGTGACATTCATGCCCACGATGAGTGCATGTAAATTTGTGTCCACAACTATAGTGATCTTATTTATTCCTCTCTCTATTTCTCCTCTCCAGCTTTCTTGTGAAGCCCTCTCCTCCTACCTCACCTCCACCCTGAACCCTTACATCACCAATGTCACGACAGCTGCCCAGCTGTGCAGCGACTTCCTGTGCCGAGGAAATGGCCGCTGTGTCAGAAAAAACTACAAGTCCAGCCATTACCTCCACCTAAACCCTGAAAGTTTCAGGGTTGTGAATACTCAGAAACACTACTTTGTTCTAGGAAGTCCAAGCTTGGCAGACCTGAAGTCTTTAAGCAGGAAATTTAACTGTCAGTGCTACAAAGGACTGAAATGCACTCCTAGGACATACAAAGAGCTTGCCAAGGCCTTGATGTTCAGTGTTAAGCGAGGGCAGTACCAGAACTCCAACACTCTGAGTAAAGTTGGATTAGATGACACCGAGCAGGCCAGCACTGCTAAAGATAAAGTTAATAAGAACTTTAATGCAGCTGACAATTAAATTTGGTGGTTACAAACTAAATTGTTAGTCTGGTCTAGAACCCAGAATCAAACTTCTACTTGCATAGAAGATGAGCTTATAGTCAACGATTAACTCAATTAATATTTTTGAATAAATTTATATTATACATATATATATATACTGCTACCTTTTGCTGTGTCAGCAAAAAACGACTCAGTAAGCATAGGGCTACTTCATGTACTATGAATAAAACCACTGACAGAATCTATAAACTACAAACACAATACCAAATCACAGATGTGTCATCTGTGCCTGACAATATTACAGCCAGTGGGTATTTGAATATGATTTGACTGCATATGCAAATGGAAAAAAAGAAAGGCTGCAGCAGTTTTTTATTTCTTTCTGTGCAATGACAAAGTACTGAATGAATGAAAACATTTTTCATTTTAAATTCTCAGTAATTTATTTAATTTATCTCGGCTCTTTTAAAAATGTGTCTGTGTATGCAAGTGTATAGCGAATATAATTTGTGTGAGAAAAATAAACATGAATCAGCAGACGCACTGACCTCTATTCCAGTTTAGATCGTTGTCAGTGGCTTTTGATTGCTTGAGAGAAAAGGTCTGACAAGCAGTGGATTATTTAAGTCTATTAATGACAAATGAGGAAAGTGCTGGAAACATGCCTGTATTTCTATGGCTGCATTACACATAGCATCACAGAGTTGCTGTAGATTTATCATTTGATCGCATTCCAGAGGTGCTGTTGGATTGAAATATGCTGGCTGTGAAGGCCATTTCAGTACCGCGAATTCACTGTCATGTTCAAGAAAACATTTTGAGATGATTTGAGCTTTGCGAAATAGCATGTTGTCTGGCTGGAAGAAGCCATCAAAATATGGGTGGTCATAAAGGGTCTTTCTCAGCTCAAAAAGCAGCAAGTACTTGGATCAGGATGCTTTCATATTGATTATGCCACATTCTGAACTTACAATCAAATGTTGAAGCAGAAATTGAAGCTCATCAGAACAAGTAATGTTTTTCCAACCTTCTACTGTCTAATTTTGGTGAGTCCATGCAAAATGTAGCCTCAATTTCCTGTTCTTAGCTGAGGAGCGGTACAAAATGTGGTCTTCTGCTGCTGTAGCCCATCTTTAAGTTTGTTGACCGTTCAAGATGCTTTTCTGCATGGCTTGGTTGCATCAAGTGGTTATTTGAATTATTGTTGCCTTCCTATGAGCTCAAACCAGTCTTGCCATTTCCTCTGACCTCTGACATCAACAAGTCACTTTCACCCAGAGAATTGCCGCTAACGGGCACCAACAAACAACTTGCATTCAAAGAGTCACTTAAATCATCTTTCTTCCCCATTCTGACGGTCAGTTTAAACTCGCTTTCACCATGTCTACTTGTCTGAATGTACTGAGCTGCTGCCATGTGATTGTCAGATTAGACATTTGGATTAATGAGGACATAAACAGATATGTAATGTGGCGACTATTAGAGAAATATCAATTAATGGAATTTCCCGCTGGTCTAGTAAAGTTTTAAGGACCATATTATGTTTTATTATTCAGGTGTTGGAAAGGAAGTTGCCATAATAATCAAGCCAACTGTTCAGTTTCATTTCCTAGTATTAGATATCAAAAGATATGTTGAAAATGCATGTTCATTTTTATAAACAACAGTCACAGATTACTTCTGATTGAACGTGTTAATGAGGCTTGGTGTATGTTGCTCCCATTGTGATTTACAGTAAATATTGTAGGTCACTGGTGTATTCACTCAGAATCCTCTGGGTGGTGTGTGTCTAAATGTTCGTATTTGCTTATGTCACAATGATCTCCATGGTGTCGCGGAGAGAAAGAGAGGGAGTGAGAAAGTGAACACAACCATACAAAAAGCCCCAGCATCACATAACTAAAATTTTAAATGAATTACAAGGCTTTTTTTTGCAATTTTCTCTGTCTAATTTGATTTATATCAGTGCTAATTCAACCAGAAAGCAGTAATTACAGATAACACACATATTATCAGGTTGTGCCAGGAACTATTATCTTATGCACTAAAGAAAATGATTTGCAGCCATTAAACCAAGATTGCCTTGATTCTGTTGCTTGTGTGCTTGGACCTGCTGAGATTTGTTCAAGCTTGTGGTATGGAAAACTACAAGTATTTCCTATAGTCACCAGTGTCTGGCAGACCTTTTGTGTTCCTAGCCTTTTAGCAGAACGCAAACACCAAGTCAGTAAATAAAAAGAAACCGCACCCTCCACAGGGTAAAACCTCTGTATAAGGGTTTGATTTACACTTTCACTTTACGTCTGGACTGCTTTTAACTTTTAACCTTGACTCTCCAACAGGAAGTAAATATTTCCATAGATATGGTGTAATTGCGCCTCTGCTGAATAATGCAAATGTTAAAGAAATGAAGGAATGCCAGCTGCGTCACAGGAAAATTGTATTTTTATTTAAAATTCTAAGTCATACAGTACATGCCATTGCAAGTTAGAGATTTTTTTTTTTTTTAGTTATTGTGCAATTTCTTTCAAACTTTCTTTTTTTTATATACCTTTTTAAAAGTAGTTTGGTCATTATTTTTAAATCTTCAAAAAGTGCACAGCCAAACACAAAAGTTAAGTATGATTAAAATACAGTTATTCTGTCATGGAAAAAAAACTGTAAGTTGTACAAAGTTATTCACGTGGGACAGAGTGTAAATGTTTAAGAACACCAGTGTAGCTGCCAGGTTAAACAAGGAAAAAAAAATTAGTAGCCAACGTATTAGGCTGAGTAGGGTTCAGTTCAGCTCTCAGTGCTAATCATATCAGTACAAATTTCACGGGGCTTTAAAACTAAAAAAACAATTAATATGAATATTTGTTAATAAACAAAACAATAAAAATAAAGCACCTGTGCAAAGTATGCTTCTAAATTTGTATAGACAAAAAATAATTTGTCCCCTAAATAATCAATCAATCCCAGAGAATATCATCGTGTTTCTAATTCTAAGTGCAAAGTGACTGATTCTAATATTTTAATGGTGTTCAAAAAGGTCACAGAGCAGAATCATTTCTTTGCAGTTCATTGAAGCATATTACTTCTAATGAGGCAGCATAGGAGGTTAATATCTAGAGAATATAGATGATACAGGTGATACATATGGCCTATATTATATCAATATTATATTAACCCATATATCACTA